TCATATAACCCTTCTTAGGGTTCACAACGCTGTTGTTGTTGTCCTGGTCTCAGTTCTTATTCAAATCGTTAGATGGTGTTGTATTCACCCTTTAGAACAATGCAGAACTTTCCAAAAGAGTGCAGAACCCTTATAATAAAATTTAAATGTGTTCTGTAGCATCAAAGTGGATGGAGAATTTTTGCAAACTTATTACGAAAAGCTTATTACAATTAAAAAGGACGTACATGTGCTTGGCGAAGTTCTTACTAAACCCTAACATGGCATCGTATTAGCTCTACAGTTTCATTCAAACATGCTAAAATTTTGCACAGTTCATCTTGAACCAAAATAAGAGGAAAATCCCTCTGTTGAAATTTAAAAAAAAATCTACATCTTTCTTTCTAATAAAACCTAAAATAAAACCTAAAAATTCTTTCTAATAAAACATCTTTCTAATAAAATCTCCTTCTCTACATAAACCCGGACAACGCCGTATACCTACCTCCGCTAGGGTGGCGTACTAAACTCATGTCCAAAGTTATCTTTACATGCATGAAATCACATATTTCTTAGAAACTGTGAATTATAATTTTATAAATTTGTGGAAATGATACAAAACATCATTTCGCATAAATGCGAAGGAAAACATGCGAAGGAAAACATTTAAGAGTGTTGCATATGATATAAAATGGTAGCCTAAAACAACAAAAATGGTAATAATGTCTTACAAAGACAGTTAGTTTAGAAAGTAACTCAGGGAAAAAATTAAGGCTGATAAATTTAATATTGAATGTGATCATTCTTGACATGTACACACATAGTACAAAATATTTTCATGCTGGCAATAACGCTGTTAACCAAAATATGGAGAAGTTTCACTCCTCCAAGAATGCTGTTTTCAGGGAATCAGGAAAACGCAGTTGCCTCTGCGCAACTGCGTTTTCAAGGTAGTCCCGTATGTTCTGTATCGGGTTAAGATCAGGAGATTTTGCTGGCCACAGTATTCGCGCAGTGTCTTGACTTTCAAGGAATTTGTCAACAAAGTTCTGTTGACGGGGGGGGGGAAGCATTATCGTCCATTAAAAAAAAAGCCAAATATCTATAAGTACTTTTGAAAAGTATTACGTAAGGCTCTAAGATCTAATATTGATATTTCTGATTAATCACGGATTCGTTGTTGAAAACGTGTAGGATCATTATTGCTTCACGTACCATCACACCTGCATTAAGCGGTCACGTTCCGTAATGTTCGAAGTAGACTTCGCGTTTCTGGCTGCCTCCAGATGCAAACATGTTTATAGCCAGATATTAAACCAAACTTCGATTCATCAGGAACATGGAACCATGGGTATTCACTCAAGTTTTGATGTTCTTTGCACCAATTAAAACGATACCTCTTTTGTTGTGAAGGCATTGAAAGACATAGACCCTTGGCCTTCTGGCAAAGGCCTTTTCATCAAGCCTTCTGTATACAGCTTGCCTCAACACTACAGTTCCTGTGATGTCTACAAGCTCGAAACTTAATTGCCGAGCCGCAGACTTTTTGTTACGACGGGATTATTGCCAGATATCGACCTCGAGAAGTATTCGTTTACACATTGTCCTGCCCTCCTTACAATAGTTCCAGAGTTCTGAAATTGTGTTCATAACGTAAAAGCTGTCTGGAAATACTCACACATCTTACTGCTTCAATGATTGTCTACATTAATTCTTAACTGCCGATGATTCACTATTTTGCGGATTTTTCCAAGTCGGTTTGTTCGGAGCCATAACAAACCGTTTTGAGTCCTTAACGGACTGAAATCAAACACTGTATTTCAAAAACTCTCTCAGATACACACTTTGCGTAAAACGCTTGATTCCCCACCAAATGATGTAACGCCAGGAGTTTCATATCAGAAATCATTTGTTCATAGAGTTCCTGTCTTTTTGGAAGCATAAATTGTAGATTCTTCGTAGAAGACGAAGTAGCGAATTCTCGCTATGTCTTTGAAGAACAGGACTACAGCAGAAGGCTTAAATAGACCTTTTTATTTAAACTAAAGTAACAAGTTGCACGAATTCGGGGCTTAAATGCCCCACTTACCCACAAGTGACAGAAAATAAAAATGTAAACTATCACAATAAATTAGGATGGCTAACGACTGGCTCTAAACCACTAAATCGGCTGCATACAGCCTAGCCTAAAATATCAGTATAACCTGAAGTATGTCTAACACCAACTAGAGAGCGAATTTCAAACACGCAGTATAAACTCGGAACTAACTCCGCTACTCCTTCTCACGAACTCTTGAAACATAGCTTAAATACTGCTTCTGAACCACACTTAGATTTTGCATATACGTCATTAAAATTTACATTCCGGCAGGAAACTGAAGTCAGGAGGGAAAGGGAAGTTAAACTAAAAATATGGTTAGAATAAAATCAGGTCTTTGCAATTTTTAATTGGATAATGCTAATTAGGCGTGTCTTTCACAAATTCCCCTTAAATATGGATCACATGGATTGAATATTACATGGAATAACATTATTTTTGGGTATAATTTTAACATTAAGCATAATATAACGTAGTAGAGAAGTTGTGTTCTATGGTCATCAATATAGTAAGGAGAGTGAGGAGAAAAAATGACTGGAAGGAAGAGATGGTGGGAGTGCTCGAATGGGGCAACCGGAAAAACCAGTACGTCAGTCAATCTCTGTTTAGGTTATTCTTTTTGCGTTGACAATCAGCCTTTGCGTATTAAAAACAATTTATTCTTCCCTTCTGTTGTAGAACGGGTACTTCAGCAATTCATATATATGCATGTTACGTATTTAGGCAGTGTTATTTTATAAATGAAAAATCATGTAGCAGTATTTACTCAGACATAAACTAACAAAATATGAGAATTGTATGAAAGAATATAAAAACAAACTCTTCAAATGAAATGGTATCTTATAACAGCTTATTTAGATCGATGGCTACGAAGAAAAATTCTGCTTTCTTGAAATTCCTACTGTTCTCACGCTTTTTGTCATGACAATTAGACATATCGGAACAAATACAGTTTTCAGTATTCGGATTTATCGATTCTAATTTTGCTAACTATATCTGTTAGATTAAAATCTTCAACTAATCCTTTGTTGTAAAGTTCTTCACATATAGAGTAGGCTGTTTTATCGGTGCAGTACTTTCTTTGGAATTTTTAATGTAATAAGAATAAGAATGTTAAGGTTTTTGCTCGCTAACGCATTGTTGGCAGCCTTGGAATATAAAAAACTGCAAGATTCTTGCTCAAAAACTCATGGTTTCTGGGAGAGTTTGAAATGTGCAACGATACCATTTCATAAGAACTCCAAATGAATTTAAATTAACTTTATAAGATACGATTCATACTAGTGAACTATCTACGATATATATATGATGTTAATATTTTCATTGGATATCCAAATTTTTATGTTTTTGACTAATTTTATTTCACTATTTCCTTATATTTTTATTCTGAGAAAATCTTGAGTAGGAAGAAAGCCTGTATTTATCAAAATACTTTAAATACGATGAAAGTAAAATTAATAATTGATGTTCATAACTATTGTATGAATAAATTTAGTTACGTACTATATATAGAAGTAAAATAAAATTAAGTAGAAATATTAACTGCTTAAATATAAGTTAAATCTTTAAAAGTTCCACAAATGTCTACAGCATATTAAGACAATTCAGATATGTTAAAATTTAGTGAGAACATTTGTGCTAGAAATGACTAGGAGTGGAGGAATGGAGTTAGCACAGTTTATTAATTTAATACAATTAATTTATTTCTGAGAAAAATTTCCTGAAGTAAATGTAAAACTTCTAAACCTGTAGATTCGGTAATATACCGGCAGATATGATGAAAAATCGGAAGAGATGGCAACTATGTTTACGTAACTGAGAATTTGCGTAAGTCCGTGTTACATAAGTCGGAGAATTGCTGTACTCATTTTCTGAGCTTTTTACGTAAAGTTCAGAAATAATGGCTCAGTTATTATCAGCAAACTTGAAGTGTTTTATTCATAATAATGCGAAGATTTCATCGGATGTTTTTGTTTCCATTCTCACGTAACACCCATATTCTTAACTGATGCCATCCTACTTTACATGAGCAGACTTTTCTATTTCTACATATGAGAATGAGGCTAGGTAAGTTATTTGAAATTCACTTGCGAAAGTATGTAAAACACAAAATTGATTGTGTCGTAAAAGTTATCAACGTGCTACATTCTGGAAAATATGAATTCACACATTGATGATTACAATACAACTTAACGCTCACTAAAGAAATTTCAGAAATATTTCTGCACAATAGGCTATTCTGTACAAAAAGGGTAAAATGTTTTAAGAATTAAGTATGGGAACAATTTTTCCAGAAATAAAAGCTCAGCAAATAATTTATCTTCGATTCTGTATGCTACTTCTGTTAAAAAAGTGACTGACATCAAATGTTGAGCGAAATTAATATTTTTAAATAAAACTTTCTAAAAACGTAAAAGCTTACCTCGGTACATCACAAACAAGATTACAATTTTAAAAGGAATAGGCTTGTTAATTCTCTGTTTGTGTAAACACTCGCGCTTCTCTTTATTTTAAGCTGTTTAATCTATTCTACAAGTCGAAAGTGTTAAGTTTTAAAAGAAAAATATATACAGAATAAATAATAGAAAAAAATAGTAATATTTTAAACTTATACAAAGTAGAAAGCTGAACTTATAAGGTGTTTCTCTCGCGTTCTTGGCATGCCTTCGTAGTGTGGTGGTCTGCACACTGGGCGGGTATTCCAGAGGTCCGTGGTTCGATTCCCGGCGCAGGCTTTGCTCATTTTTCAAGTCTCCTGTTTCCAAAGATACCTAATGTCTCTACAAACGTATGTTTTGAGCATAACATAGCGCTATTAACATCCACAGAATTGAGAAAGTTTGACATTATACTTAAAAATTAGATAATAAAGAAGAAAAACAGTAGAAAAAAATTGACGTTTTATACAACGTTTTATACATACGTGCAGAAGTTAATTCTTTTATATCGTCTGCAACACATGGAGAAGGAACACAAACTCCAATACGCATGGCCATGATGTGGAACAGTGCGGACGAACGGGATATATCCGTCAATACCTACAATTCAGAAAATGAGATACTATTTTTTAACTTAATCGATGTATAATATTTAAATTGCTACTATACTGCGCGACGTTTTTAGCTGAATTTATTTGAAACAAAAAATATATGATTTTGCTTTTGATAATTTTCCACAAAGCGACAACAAAATACTAGATTAAATTCCTCAAACTCTGCATAACATCTGCTTACCACCTAAAACGTTTATTAGATCTAAATTTGAATGATACAATACGCAATGATTTATGAATGTTTTCAAAACCTGAAGATTCTTATTAAAAAGGAAAATTTAAGCTGAAAATATAACTCTATACTTCTTTAAACTACTAAATATATAAAAAAAAAATCGAGAAATATCCTCAGAAATTCTTTAACCGAAGTATTATTTTTCTCAAATCCTTTTAATATATAAAAAGGATTTCAATAAGAATTATCAAGAAATAAAATGATGCTACCAGAAAATTACAACACTGTTACGTTTATGACTTGAATGTTAAACAAATAACAAACGTACATTATTCTATTGAATAATATATTGAAATAGGTAAAGAAATTTAAGAAAACCCACCAATTCAAAATTTTTTTATTGTTTTTGAAGGTAGGGTAGGTTTTCCTAAAACAAGAACAAAAGATTATCGCTATAAGTAAAAATTTATGATATAAAATCCTGGATCCTTGAAGTTAAAGACACTTGAAAATGCTCCTTAACTAAGCAGAATACTTGATACTGCTATTTATATAGAATTCTTATTGAGCCTTGACAGATTCTGGCTAGCACCTCTTTGTCTTTTTATCAGAGTGAAATGGACCTAACTCAGACATATTCTATTAACATCATAGTATTTGTAAGGGCTATCTGCCTGTGTCTCAGTAATTTGTCCCAAAACTAGTGTGCTGCTGATTTCCCAACGAAGTCCATATCCGAGTATCGTCTAGAAATACTATAAAAATGTAGCCTAATGGATATGATTTGTCTTGTTATTGTACTGGAAATGAGGTTTTTCTGAAGGGACGTTGCAACAATAGTCATTCGTTCTTGCACTACTTATTGGTACCACTGTACCTATACCGCACAGTCAAGCAATAAGCGATACAGAATAGTGCTCTGCTGCAACAAATAATAACTCACCATAAAACAGGAAAATAGTTGTGCAGCAGACTGTATAGTTATTGAGGTTTAGTTACATGGTTGTATGTTAATTAATTGCATAAATACAAGATGTCTATCTTTTCACTCATTTGTGTGTCGAGGACCGCTGCAAATCTTTACCTTGACCTCAATAGGTTCTTTTCGCTTAAACCTTCCGAAATCTTATTTTTGTTACTATGATTTGATTCCAGAAATCGTAATTTCACAACTTTTACTGATAGTGGATCAACACTCTTACATTTCTGAAGGACGTTGCAATCACAAATGATTTTAAATGTGCTGCACTGTTAATCATTTATATGCCTTGGCACAGTGAAAAATTGGATCCAATCAGATATATCTTCAAAATTTTCAGACCATTTAAAATAAACGTTAATATAAATAAATGTCTGTAATACGTTAATTAAAAATAAGTTAAATGAAAGGATATTTTAGGGCTTATCGCTGTTTGAATTATTAATTAAATAATTTTTCAAGTGAGTAATAAAGTATTAACCAAGAAGTTCTTTTTTAAAGATATACAATTATATAGATGAATGTGGTCAGTATTTCATATTAATCCAGATTATTATACCAACTACTTGCAGTCGAAGGATATTGAGCAAACGGCATCATGTTTGAGTAAACGGCTAATATTTCAATCAGCCCAAGGTCTGCTTAAAACTTGGATGTTGCAACATTTATGTGTAGAAAATACTCTAATTAAATTTGGGAAACTGCCCTGACCAATATAATGGTTAGTGAAGCTAGGCCTGAATTCAAATCCCGGAGAAGGTCTGAATGTTTATAAATGTATAACATCTGTGCGTCATGTGAGCACTTAAAATAATGGCTAGCCGAAAGTTCTCTTGACGGGCTTGGTTGTAGGCACGAAGGATGAAGACTTTCGAATCCGTACCTCGAGGTTTTGTGAATCAAATTGGGACAAAGCGCCCCCTCTCTTTTATTGAAGCAATTGCCTCTTGCGATGCATCTTCGGCAACGTTTTCGGTGATGAGACGAATGGGTTAATTCTTAATATTGCATCAAGTATCAGGCCATTTGGAAAAATAGAAACAGCTGGCGGAATACGTAAATATTTCTGCATGAACTCTTTTTTTTAATGGCAGATACTAACTATTTTAGGTTTTGTCCACACTTCTAAGGCCAGAAGCGGTGGTCTTTTAATTATGGACGCACCAAATAGGTGGCCATCATTACCTCCTATGAAGGAACAGATAACTTAATCCGTGCCTTCTCCAAGACTCAAACCCGAGTCCTTCGGTATTCTAGTGTGAAGCGAAATATTCAAATTATCTTCCGAAATATTCAAATCAAAATCGGTTAATACGTTTGAAATTTCTGTTGAGGTTTTCTAACAGCTATTGCGGATATGATCTAGGAGAAATACCAACTTCAAATTGCAGTTATACATTTAATTTTTGTTAGTCCGAAAGATATTATTGTTTGTAATTAAAAATACCGTTAAAAACTTCTTTTATTAAAATACAGATGTACGTTCTTTCAGAGTAATAATGTTCAAATGGTTCCCATATTGTATAACGTTTCTAATTACGTTTATTTGAAGCAAAAGAGATAAAAAATGAAAAGTTTTTTTAAAATTTCAACAATGTTTATTGATGTAATTAAGGAAATTAATTTTTTAATGGAAATATGCTTAAGATTCGCTTATATACGGAAGCTATAATGTATGAAAACTGTTATCATACACAGCATTTAAATGGTAAAATTCATATATACTATATACACATTTTTCCTATTAATACTCAAAATAATAACACTTATTTACCAAGTAATATAAAAAAGGGTTAATAACATTTTGTACCTTCACAAATAATTTTTGAAAATAAACACTTTTTAAAAAATATTATAAAGAAGTATATATAAAATAACTTTCTAAATAATTCTCCTTTCTATGCTGTTTAGCAACACATTTTTAAAATATTGAAAACAAACAAAAGAATTTACGTACTGTCTATCGACAACCATAATGTTCTCGTATTTCTTACTTTTTTTGGTAAAGGACATGATTTTATGGCTAAATGGAAACAATTATACTCCGAAAAGGTTTTAAAAGCATAAACCTTTTCCTTTATAATAGGTACATTTTTTTGAATTAGTTGAAAATGTGAAGGAAATGTCAAAAGAAATCTTGTAAAATCTTAACTTTAATTGAATTTAGAGGATGCATAGTGAATTCTTCAAGTCATGTTAAAATTCGTAAAGATATTGAAAATCTTTCATCATTCAAATAATTGAATGTATTCCCGAATTCTGATTGCGTGCAATCATTCTGCATCATTGACTCGGAATGCAGGAAATTTTAACAAATTGATAGATTACTGTTACTTGCAGCAAGAAAAAGCTTATTTGTGTTGACATCAAACAGTAATTTGATTTTAAGTACGTTTGAAGGTTAAACATTTGTCTTCTTACAGTGTAAAGAAGAGATTATTTATTATCATAACACACTCCAATTCTTTTATTTTTAGATGATTTTATAAAAAAAAACTACTGCTTCCGTTGAAATCCAACCAGGACGAAATTTCCTCAATTATTAAAGAACTTCTGTTTCATTTGAATCCGATGACTATTTTCAAAAGGAAACAAGAGAACCTTAAAAAAAAGTACGAAAACACTTACTTCCGCTCTTTACGCAAGAAATACGGTTTCAAATACTTTCTTTTCTTAAAGACAGGAAATAATTATTTTCAATTCCTTTCCGTTATGGTTAACCAGTCTATATGGAGATGAGAACTTAAGTTTAAAAAGGCAATCTTAGAAGGAAAATAATTTTATTAAAAACGTTATTAACGTCGATTTATTTTCTGAGAAGAAACCAAAGACGTTTTTCTTCATCTTAATGAGGTCTTAATTGGCAAAAAAAATGAGAACTATTTTTGCTTTAAATGTCAGGAATAACTAGAACGTACCCCTTTTTAGTTAAACATAGAAATACAATGTATTGCTTCTGAATATAATTTTTACCCAAAAAATGCCTTCTTCCAAGCTTATATCTGTAATTTAAAGTTAAAAATACGTGTATTAACAATGTAACACTTAGACCAAGACTTAAATAGCAAAACGGAAGCCTATTTACTTTGTTCTCTTATTTTGACCATTTAATTACCTTTCTTGTTAAACATCTTCACCCTATCAAGCTCATATAGTATAATGGTATATATATATATATATATATATATATATATAATATATTCATATATATAATTATGAAATATATAAATATACTTCTTCTATGTCTTCATATATATATATGAAGTATGTAAATTAAATAATGAGACTGAAATGTGGCTTATATAAATATATAAATATAAAATATAAAAATCTGAAAGCTTTCACATTTTATATTACGGCATACGGTTAAGGGGCATTTTTGTCATTTACACATACATAAACGTTTCCCGAGTATTTGGACTAACGCGTTTTTGGGCTAGAAATATTTAAAAACAACATATCTTTAGAATTTTTGATAGACAATTGATTGAAATCTTTGAATTTCTTATTCAAAAATTCGTTCAAATTTTACGAAATATGAAATAGACAATAAAACAAATTCGAAATTCAAAATTCGGACTTCCAAGTCCCCATATTCGGGTGGAGGACTACGCTATTCAAATTCTGATGTCTTTAGGTACCGTTGTTTTTCCACAATAGAGAAACATACATACATTCATGCAGATTCTTCATTATTTATTTTTTTTAAATATAATACAGGGCGATAGTATTTGGTGGCAACAGTTTGAAAAGTGATACAACGTTTTATAGTGATTCGACGGAAAATGCCGTTGATTAATAGCCCTTCGGGCCTAATTCCCCTTTGGGATAATAATAGATTTTGATTTTTTTTAATTAAAATATGTCTACTTCCCAATTTGTTTTGAGTGTCGAAATTCACAAAAAATTCTGAAATAAAAACTCGTGTCTTAACGATATCAGTTATTAATTCAGAAATTTCCGAACATCAAGAAAGGGAAACATTCGACAAAGTCCAATTACTTATTATCTTTACATTTCCCAAAATCAAGTAATGCTAAATCAGTATTAGTAAAGGAAAAATGTTATCTTTTAAGATATTATCACATTCTCTTGTGTTTGTCCATTCTAGTAGTTTATTCATTCTTATGAATTATCCATTATACTGGCAAAAAATGTTAAGACATGTAGCTAACAACTGGAAAACTTGTGGTTTGAAATTCGACAAGAGCAGAACTGATTTATTATGTTTTTTCTTTCCAAAGAAACCTAATAACTTCTTCAACCTTAAAAATAGAATTTAAGGCGTCATTGTTATCCAATTAAGTTGGACGGACAGAAAAAGATGAAATTACAGCTTTGGTAGAAATTTATGAAAGCAAAGAGGTGTATTTTTAAGAAAGAGTATATGGTGATTTGGGATCATATTACAATCTATAAAATAGAACTAAATAAAAGGATTTAAAAAAGAATAAGCATATAATTATTTGTCATTTTAAAACGTCTTATAAATCAATTATAACCCTTCACGTATCAATTAATAATACATATCCAATAATAGTTAAACTATTAAGTAATGTTAAGTAAAATTAAAGAGATAAGTGATTTGGATTAGTGTTGAGAAGAACTCATTGTTTCTGATATAACTTATTGTAACAGAAATTAAACATTAAGAAATACTTTAGAAATTCTTTTTCGGGAAACGGCCTCGTAAATTTATGATATGCGTTTTACATACTAGGGCATTTTGTGGTTAGTAAAATACAATAATATTGCTATAATTCAGAGAATGTCTGAAAACTGATTAAAAAAAGACAACAAGATTTGATTACACGATGGAGGACAGTATATATGTATTCTAAATTTGCGCTCTAATTTGCTAAAAAAATTCTTCTAAATTTGCTAAAAAAAAAGAACTGTTTGGTTGGTTCAGTCAATGAGAACCGAAAGCGTACTTTGAAATTGGTCAATGAGAACCGAAAGCGTACTTTGAAATGAGAACCGAAAGCGTACTTTGAAAAGGTCTGCTTTTCCTGAAGCTCTTGTAAGAAATGCCTCTCATTTATTTTATGCTTGAAGAGAACTACAAATTCTACTCACAATTAGTTTGTTTTTGACAGGAAGCAAATCTTGGAGGGAAGACTATAAAGAATTATCGCATTCCCCGTGCGTGCTTTTGTGGCATAAATACCGGGGAGGGTGTAATTGCTTTATCACATTTCCTGCTTTGGAAAACCTTAACATTCTCCCAACACTAATATTGTTTACAACTTTCATGACTAATTTCTTCTCTGTATGCAGTGGTATGATTTTCTCCGTGTTTTACATTTACAAGACACCAAAATATTTTATCTTCTCATACAATTTTTTTCTCATGAAGATGAAACACAATTAAGCTGAGAATATATCTTGCTGGTTAATTTTCGATGGCAAGACAGTGTTGCGGTGTTCATTGGTCTTTCCTTGGAAATCAAAACACTTAGAAAGAACGATTTACAACTTTCACCTCCTCAGGATATGAAAAAATACAGAACTACTCATTGGCGTTTCTCCTTTTAGTAGTCAATGAATTCTGAAGCTATGCAAATGAGAGTTCAGAACTTTACCTGCATATAAATTAGCCTTTGTACTTTTTTTTTACATTTATAAGCGTGTCGTAAGGGGACAGGAACTTTAGTCTTTATTCAGCAGTGAATATAGATGCCTCTATATAGTGTAACACAACCGTATAAGCGACTTGAACAGAGAACGTGATATTAACATGAAAGTGCGGTTGAATATGATCGAAAATTATCCGAAAGGGACAGAAGCCCATTCGAGATCATTGGCCTCTACAAATGAACCAGATAATCTTTGTAAAATAATAGAGTGAATTACTTGATGATACGGAAAAAATCAATCATCCACTGTTATAATAATTATATACTTCAAACAGACAACTGAGACAGAGGTTATAGTGATGCAAGTGGCTTTTTGTAGAGAGGCATAGAAATGTCTAACTGCTGTCGAACGGAAATCTGTGTTAGAAAGTACGGAGAAAGTATTTTGGTATTTTACGATGATTCAATTAATAAAACACTCAGATTACTAACCTCTCACCTATACCAAATTTTTCTGACAGAACAACAAATGAAGATGATTGCTAACGTGGATTGACGATCTCAGCTTCAAGGCTTAGATTCGATTAAGCAGACAAAAAATACTTGTAGCCTCAAATGAACGTTCTAAACCAGTGAATATCTTATTGTTGTTCTAAAGTAATAACTCATTTCATCCTGTTGAATGAATTGATACTATCATAAATAGATAAAAAAATACTGTTTCTCTTTCTTTTTTGTAAAAGTTGACTACTGAGGTACAATACACAGTGTATTATCGCACTAATGGTTTTTTATTGTCACACTTCATTGGTCGACACCGCAACATTTTCTTGGGCCATCATATAGCCTACTTTCTCGAAAACCTATATGAAAATGCACAGTTAATTTTTCCATATGGAAGGTATGTTCCTAGCATACCTTCCAGCATTCATTTGCTGGAATTTCAGCATTCATGTTCCTAGCGTACCTTCCAGCATACCTTCCAGCATTCATTTGTAGCTAAATAGAAAATTCTATAAGAACACAAAATAGTCTGAGGCCTATGAATATAATATTGCAGAGAAAATCATATTACAGTTTATGATGTTCGTTTTGCCCAGTTTAATGAACGGATATCAACATAAACAGTATAGAAGCATACTACTTCTCTTCCATTTTCGTAAAAGATGATAACTAAAGTATCCAGTTCATTGTCATAACTAATTTTCTGCCAAGTTTTTTAATAAATTATATTTTAGGAAAAAACATTTTCTCAAATAAAATATTGTAGCTCCCATTTTCTTCGAATTTCTTCAGAATTCTTTACGTAGACGTTTTATTTACCTGATTTTTTGGTTTATGGCTTTGATTTACGGAAACCAATTTACTTAGACATACCCTTAAAAGTATATACCAGCTCCAAATTAAATAATTACAAATATATCAGTTAATTACAATTACAGAATTCAAATTATAAATAAATTCTCTAAAAATAGATTCAATGGCAGTTTAAAAATAAATATTAAATTTTTAAAAACTTATATGGAATTTGATTTAATATTTCAGTACCGAATCTCTTGATGTATTCCCAAATTTTAAAACTTTGGTGTTGAGCGTGACACTGCTCTGCAATGCAGGAAGCATTGGCTTGAGTTCCAAAGTGCAGTACTGTCCTCTGATTTCACTGTGCTTGTGTTTTTTGGGTTGAACGACATCCAGACACTGATCATAGTCTCCCATATCCGTAAGTGTTCCTCCTAAGCTTCCAGATGGTAAACGGCCACTGGCGTCAACCACTGAAAAGAAAATTGACTTATTAAAATATGTAAAACAGCTAGTCTCGAATACTAGTAAAAGTCATATGAATAATTATAACGTAATTAATATACTATTTAGCTTTCCGTAATTACCTGTTTTATCACACAAAACTATACAGTACACCATTTGTGCTAAGCTACATTGTTTAATTTTATTGAACAATCGCTTTTGTGGCTAAAAATGAAATATTTTTCGGATTCAAAATTGGTGGAAAAATAATTCAATCTTAGGCACAGTACTTATTTCTGTAAAACTTCTAAAATTTATGAGAAATATGCTAATTGAAAAACTCAGTCAAAAGCTCAACTTTGAGCATTCGACTTGATTATGATTAAATTTGATTCAGTACATGTTTAATATAATTACGGCCCAACCACTGGCATAGTTACCCTCAAAAGCATTTAAGAAAACATTTTGATCCATCCAGAAGAGCATCAGAAACAAGGGGGCCTTTGGCTAGTTGATTTAGATGCTTCAAAGTTTTATTTTAATATTTTAATACGCAAAATCTTATTCCTTCCTTTATTTTCTGCTACTTGAAAATTGTGTAAAATCAAAAGAAATACAAATAAGCAAGAATGTGTAGTAAGTAGTATTTCTAAGAAGTCATTAGACATTTTTCGAAGCATGTGACATAAAAAATATGCAGTATCATCGGAGGGACTCGAACCTGGACCTCTCGAATATGCTTCGAATACGCTTCCAATTAGAACACGAAAGAATGAGGAAAGGAGGGAGAAAATACCTTATAGTAATTAATAAGATTCTATAAGTAAGTATTATTTTAATAATAAGTAAGTATTATTTTAATAAGATTCTATAGTAATAGGAAGATTCTATACCAGTCTATCATATTTGGCAAAATACAGCTCTCCAGACAACGGATGGATTTTTTGCTCATAGTGTATTGTCATGGGAAGAAAATAATTATAAATTAACTATTAAAATTATTTAATTAATAACACTGAGAAGTAAAATTTATAGTTGAAAATATTTTGCGTGTTACTAATATCGACAACAGTATATTATCATTTTTGTTATACTTGCAGTCTTAAGGGCACGTGGAACATTTCGACTAATGAAATGGAACAGTTTTAATAGTTCATTTACAAAAAAAAATTCCCTTTCAGAAAAAAGGGCATGATTACGTATAATAGTTCTCATACCTATAACAATATATACAAGAGTTGGCCAAAGTGCGGCTCGCGAGCCTGATATGGCTTTCGCAGGCAATTTGTGTGGCTTATGCATATAAAATATGTGTGTGAAATATAGTAAACTAAAACTATTGTCCAAAAGAAAGTAATTAATTAGTTTAGACTTATTTTACAAATTTATCATGGATTTCTTTCTATTTAAAATCTCCCCCACTACTTCTATAATGATGTAAATATGAACTTGTGACTTTTAGAAAATCTAGATGCGGCTCTCGAACATTCCTGAATTCAAACGTGCGGCTCTTACTGACATGAAGTTTGGCCAACACTGATATATACATTAGCTTCACAAACTTAAACTAAGCTACTTTTGCAAAGTATCTAATTTTAAACTTATATAGCTTCAAATTCAAAATCAGAACTATTTAATATTTTTTTTTCATTTTGTAAAAATAGTTGGTGGTGTGTCTTTTTGATACACTTCTCCAAAATAATATTTTTTTATAAAAATTGTTACAATTTCAGAAAATACGGCATTTAACAATAATAAAATGGATTTCATTTTTTGGTCCAGAGGAAATAAAATTATCATTTTTTTTAAATAGAACTTTCAGAAATTATAAAAATAAATCATAAAAATTTTATATTATTAATTTGCTAGCTGTTTTCAGTTTTTCTGTACACAATTTAGATGTCATGAAAGCAACAAAGGGATTATATATCAGAGAAAATTTTGAGTTTTTATCATCTCAAATAGAATTTAAGCAAAGTGTTATTAAAAACGGAAAAAAACACATTTTGAATAAAAATGAAAAAAAAAAAAAAACTCTATTAAATAAATTAATGCTTAAAAATGCATTATAATAAAGCTTCCTATCACCATAATTGTCATCATTCAACACTTTTGTATCATACTTGCTCAGGTTTAGTGTTTTTCCCCCTATTTGTTCCCCCTTTTTTTTTTTTTTTTTAAATTGAATTCTCGCACTTAAAAATGTTAACTAACACCGAAAGAACATCCAAAATAATCCAGTGGCGAAATGATTAACACCATATAATATTCTAGTTTGACATATAAAGAGTATAACACTTTAACACGACTGTGTTGCTGTGTGGCTTATCTCATTTGTCTGATAAGCAAAAATATTCCACGAATATTATTGTGGCAAGGAGCGTAGGACTACGTCTGTTGTTTGTATGAGCTTTGAGCTCCATATAATTAGCAATACCTCTTTTCCCAGCTTCGCCTTAATTTTGATTTAGAACACCTGGGGAAAATGCGTATTTTGATTGTCCCCATGCCGCACAGATATCGGCGCCTTCGAGATTCGAACTCGAACCTAAAAAATGATGTAGCAGGTAGAGGCACTAACGTTACATCGATTAAGGCGGTAATGCGGGTGTAAGCACCATCATTAAAATAGATTAGTGCATTTAATATACTTAACAATGAAATCGTTAAATAACGAAAATCCTTTTGGTTCCCAGAGAAAATGATCAAAATTTATTTAGAATTCAGCCATGAGCACATTTTTCTAAAATTTTTCTGTCTGAGAGTGAATAAAATGCTGATTTTATAGTTGTACATACAGCTTTTCAGATAACGAGAGTTTGCTTTTATGTGTTTTTCTAGTCTTTGTTTGTCTAGAGCTTTGTTCTCACGTATCGAGCACATGTTAAAATGCCATACATAATAAACCATGCTCTGGATTTTAAGCGTTGACAATTTGTGAAAATAGATTGCCTATATGCATTTAACCGTATTAGATGTTGATAAACTTAGGTTACGAGGAATTAATAAGAAATAATAAGATCGAATTTGAGCATCAGTCAAACGAACACCTCCAGATATTTTTTTCCATCACTAAGTTTTTAACTGCAGTCACTTTATTAGTAAATATGTACAGGAAAATATAAGTTGAATTCTTGAAATTAATAAAATCTGCAATAAGTATTAGGTCAGTAAATAATAAAATTTCTGTACAGGCGTGTCCCATGAGACGAAGAGGCGTGACACTCTTTGTTTACATATTTAAATGGAGCATTTTGTGCCTTCATTTCTTACCATCCCATACAAATATCACATTTTTTGGAATCGTCTCAGACTGAGCTATTTTTTAAGCTTAAAATGGAACGTCCAAAAATCTGAACCATTATTCAATCCATGTAAACGAACCAAAATTAAAATCGTCTTTTATGCATATAAAATCTGAGAGTTCTGGCATAACTATTGTCTAATATATATTTGAATTGAAAAAAAAAACCTGAAAAGTTTCAGATTTTAAATTACGTCGAAAGGGACGATTTTTTTAACGTTTTGCGTGTTAAATTTATTTATTAAATATCATGTTCTACATACTCAAACTATTAAATTCAGTTCGACAGCAATATCGCAAATTAATTTTAAAATGAGCATATCTTTAGAATTTCCGATACAGAGTCTCGCACGCTGGAAATAAAAAAATTTTTTTTTTTTTTTTTTTTTGGTTCAGTGTTGCCATTGCTCGTTTTGAAATCGTTGAGCTTTTTTCAATAAACAATTCGTTGAAGTGTTACAAAATCTGAAATCGATAATAAAACAAATTTCAAATTCAAATTAGGGTTTCCACATGCCCATATTCTATAGAAGATTACGTTATTCAAATTTTGATGGCTCTAGGTACCGTTGTTTTATCACAAAGCGAGAAACATACATACATTTATGCAGATTCTTCATCATTTAATTTCTTTAAATATAAGAGAGGGCGATAATATATGATGGCAACGATTTAGAAAGTGATACAGTCTTTTAAAGTTTTCGACGCGAAATGCCAAAACGAAATTAATAGCTTTTCAGGCCAAATTGTCCCTTTGGACTAATAAAGAAATGTATGTACGTAGCATCTAATTTTATTCATATGTTCAAGTCGTTCAAGGAAACGAATTCATACATATTCTAAAATTCAAATGTTAATCTAAGATCTTTGAAAAGGAAGAATTTCAACAGACTTATATGAAGAATATAATAATTTTTATAAGTTAACCATTCAGTTTAAGAACATCTTACTGAAGCGAGAATATTCCTTTGTCTAAAGCATTCAGAAAAAATGTTTGCAAGACAAATGGTTTTAAACATAATATATTATTATTTAATAAGTTGCGAAGTGACATCCATCAGAAAGCACACACTTTCTACGGTGCTTCTGACTTCCTATACGCATTATAATCATACGTTTCATCATCTTCCTATACGTTTTGGTATCGATCAATCCGCTTGCTGTAGCATAATTTTCTGTAGCTTCTATTATATCAAAACGGGTGGACAGAAAACGAGGAATCTGGCAAATAAGACAACTGTTGAAAGATAGGAATCTGTTCACAATAAAATAATAAAATGAAGTTTATTTGTTCTAACCCACTTTGATCAAAATGCGACTTCGCGCTGAATGGATAAAAGATTCTTTAATTGCATTTGCACTACAACACGCATTGTGCGTCCCAAATGAATATCACTACATTTTTTCTATCAAGATTGCCCTTGTATTCTCACAGAGATAAATTCAAATAATGAAATTTTCACGTACGTGATAGAATTTTTTCGCTAGCTTTTCGAACAGATTATGCTAATTAGGATTCCTGTAATTCATACATAATTTGTTGAAGTAAATCTGAGTAGTTTTGTTGAGTATACTTCTTAAGTTTGAAGAACTGTTTTTCTAATAACATTATTTCACTTTTCGTAGCCGTAATACTGTTATCACATTGAAGCGATCAAAAGTATAGCTATAGTTCTGATTCACGTTGTGTAATACTAGTGACAATGTAGCCGTTAGAGAACTACCAGGGTCTCGTATTAAAATGCATGAAATATAGGAACATTTTAATAACATATTTTATAGAAATAATATATTTTGCAATAAGCACGGTATTAGTCACATAATAATCAGAGATAGCACTCGTAGTTTAACTTAATTTATGTATAACAACAAA